TTTTTTTTTTTTTTTTTTTTTTTACGGGAGAAGAATACAGATTTTCCCAGAAATGATCTAACTGAAAAATAATCTCCATATCTTACTGGAAATCTGGAAACCAGATGTTAAAATTCCACTAGTTGAGTGAATCCTACCTAGCTGATTCTATTTGTATGTTAAGAGCACATAAAAATATGCAAACACTCCTTTATTACTCTTAGTCTTCAGTGCCTTCCTCATGTCCCACTCACAGATGAAAACGGAAGCTCACATTTACAGACTGATATGCACTCCATCACAGCTCCTTGCACTCCGGGAAAGGTGGATGCTAACAAGCTTGCTAACGAAGTAAGACAGCAGTTTCTGCTCACCATACTGGCTTGCCCCTGCATAAACGCTATCATTTCTTCTGCTGTGGTCCTTGATGTAAATGATGGGCACAAACGTAGAGCCGTACAGTGTCCCGGATGCCACCGCAAGGCTGCAGCCCCTTTAAGAACAAAAATAAACCACAGTGACTCTGAGCCCAACACAGTGCTTCTGACAGACACACCCATAACATATATGTGAAGCATGCTTCACAATGAGGGTCACACCAAGTCGGCAGAAAATCATCCCCCTCTCTCTAGCTCTGGGAAGGCCCTGCAGTGTCAGGTGGCCCCGGGACCAGCGGGCGGCCTCGGCACCCTGTCTGCTTTTGGAAGTTAGGATGGATCATCGCCACCCCTAGTCACTGCACACAGAGAAGGGTGCTTGCTACTGTCTATTAGGTTGCACAGTCTACGTAAATATCTCGGTTCTCAAATTAAATGCTGAGTAATTTGTGACCCGAAGTGCTTCCTTTTAAAACACACTAAAATATCCAGCTCAGAAGTAGGACTAAGTACTAAATATATTTTCCTTCAAAATAACTTCAGCTCCGCAGGCGTGTGTATGACTGCAGCGTAGCTGAGGGAAGGGCTGATTTAATAAAACAGTCTGGGTTTTTCACATGAAAGTGTTCCTTTTCGTCTATTTTGCAGTGCTGGAGCTCAAACCCAGGGCTTCACATGCGCTGGATGTGTGCTGTACTCCCAGCTCAGCGTTTCTTTCTTATAAGCAGGAAGTGTTCCCCTCAAAGCCCTGGAATGAAGCTGATTCCTCAGACTCGGGGCTGCAAGAAGTCAGCATTTCCTGCATTCCTACCTCCCAAGCTTACAAATTCTCCACTGATTCTAATGCTTCTCATTTAAGAACCGTAATGTAATCAGTTTCATCCAAGGACTATGAGACTCCTATGGCGGCCTCAGCAGTATTTTCTAGTTCCCCAGAAAGTCCCCGCATGGGGCGGCAGGTTTTCAAGGCCCCTGAACAAGACACAGGCCAAGTGCAGTTCACTAAAAGACAATGAAGAATCCTTTTCTGAACAAATATTCCATTAACAGAGGAATGTTTTGTGAAAAATAGAATTTGGAAGCATTGAGGAAAGGATGCTTTGCTTGAAATATTTGTTTAATTCTGAAGGAAAACCAGCAATGTGTTTATCTTCTCCAGAGCTCGCTTATCTGGTTGCCCCTTCTTTCATTTATTTAATTAATTCATCTATTTATTGTGCTGCTCTTTGCCCACTGCACAGGGAGTGTGTCGGAAGGAAGAAGAGCTTTAGGCTAGGGAGGTAGCTCTGAGGTAGAGCACTTGGGCAGCAGCAGGGAGGCCCTACGTTTGACCTTTGCTCCTGCAAAGGGAAAAAACAGGTTTATATGCTCCAGTCCACAAGAAGCATCAGTACACCAAGTTCAAAATAGTTTTAGCCAGGCGTGGTGGCACATGACTGCAATCCCAGCACTGGGGAGGCTGAGGCAGGAGTGTTGCTGCAAGTTGGGTACATAGTGAGTTTCAGGCCAGTCTGAACTGCATAGTGACACCCTGCCTCAAAAAACAAAACAAAACAGAAAACAGTCTTGAATGTAAAATGAAGCTGTACGCTACTAAATATTTTAAAATTTATTTGGTAGTCCAACAAAAAAACCCAAAATCTACACCCAAAACAATGGGGCTGATGCTCAGCCTGACTCCGAGTCCTCGGCACGGACACAGTGTGGAGAGAGACGTGCGTGGCCCGTTTCCACCGTGACTGCCGGGACGCGCTGCCCACCGAGCCGCCGCCCCCTTCGCTGTAGCTGCGAATCCTGTGGAATGAACCTGCTTCTGTCCTCTGCCCGCAGGTTCCCAGTCCAGAGGTGGCTTAGCATTCCCGGGAGTGGCTGAGCTTGAAGACCTCTCTCTGTACCTAAACGCTGGCAGGGGATGCAGAAAACCTCGCCCAAAGAGCTAGACTTCAGCGCTTGCAGTACCATTTTCTTCTTGAACTTGGATGAGGATCACTGCACTCTGGTCAGCCCTACTTCACCCAAGTCCGCAGCACGCTAAAACAGCAGAGGGGCCCCTGTCCTTACAGTAAGCGGCGGTGAGCTGCCGAGAGTCTGTCCACCCAGGCGGGGCCGGAACCGGGCTCTGGAGCTGGGTCGATCGCCTGTGGAAACATGGGTACAAAGCCAAACACACAGTGAGCTGAGTTAGTGATCCCACCGGGGATCGCTGGTGGTTCCCTTTCCTCCCCCAAACTCGCCTTAAAATACAAGCATGTCCCCTGCGCACTGTGATGCACTCCTACTGAAGGGCTTCTGGCTCTGCGTGTTCCTCTCAGAAGGGCCTGGCGCTTGGCCAGTTCTCCATTTTTATTTTTCACAGTTTAATGTGTACCTTGATAGCCCCATCAAAACTCAAAAAAGATATTAACTCATGGTTCATTTGCATATTTCAACAGCCTCTAAAAGCATTATAACTAAGAAAACCTCAGATTTTCCTCGCATGGAATGCCTAAAATCAATCAGCACATTACGCTGATTTTTAAAAACTGAATTAGTTAACGAAACATTTCCAGCTGGGTTTTAAGATCAGTCTAATCAAAGAAGTCCAGAAGAGTATTGGCAAAGTCATAATCTTTCTAGGATTAAATGTAGTTGTTTCTGCTTCTTAGCTGAAGGGCCTGATGTTACACTACCATTTCCATTTTTGTAAGAGATAAGAAAGCAGATCTGAATTCCTTGTTATGTGCTAAGCCAAGTTGTCCTTTGCCAGTAATGCTTTCTTTCCCTGGAAGGAGCTCATGATGTATGGCTACACAAGAACTAATCCTGCTGTCCATGTATCTTTAAAATTAGTTCCTTTGAAAGGGAAAAACTGTACAAGAGAAATTGTTCTTTTTAAAACTTTGTTCTTATGAAACTGCCTAGCTCTGTAACTGCTTCATGGCTTTGTAATTACTTTTTTGACCCCTGTAACCACAAGGGCTTAACTGAACATACAAAATGTCTGATTGTACCACTATCCCTAGCTTCATAAATTATCATTAATCTACCCTTTTAACCAATAATCTCACCCTGCTAGCTAATCAGAAGAACTGCCAGGCTGTTCTGTCTCGCCTTTGTATCTCCTGCTTGTGCATCATGTAAAAGCCCTGGACCACCAGAGATCGGGGCCCGATATTCTGGGAATGAGCCCAATCGATGCCCGTGATGTAAATAAATCTGCCTCCGAATCCTGGGTGCCGTTTTGGTGTTTCCGTTTGCCGTTTCACCTTCATGTCCTTACACTTTGTTCACATTTTTCCTTTTATCTAGAAAAATTTAGTCAGCTACTATGTACCTTTGACCAAGCTGTATTTCTTTTATTGTATTACTTTGCTCCTTTGCGCAAAGCTTGGCTGGCTAGGAAGTATCTGGATCCTTAAAGTAGGAAAGGAACACCAGAAAGAAACATTCTCCCAATCCTAGCATCTCCAGTCTCCCCAAAACATTCCCCCGGCTGGGGCTGCCCATAGATTCATAAATCCCTTCTCTCTTATCCTTAAGCAAATAACCATTTGGCTTTGGTGCCAGCTGAGCTGAGATTTCAGCCATGTTATGCGACAGAGGAGGAAAGAAAGGAGGAAAGGGTCAGTGTGGAGCACTTACTGGGGAGGAGAGGAAGGAGGCAGCCCTCAGTGGGGTGCACAGCTCTGGATTCAGAGGCAGTGAGGCCAGAGCTGAGACAGGCGGCCGGCCGGATTCCTGGCGCTTTGGTGTATGCAGCCACTGATACTCATGCTATTGCAGGTCTCTCCTGGGAGGCTCCTAATCAACTCAGATTTGCTAGTCCAGACTGACTTACATCCTTCAAGGTCAAATCAGTGACCCCCCCATCTCTGTGGTTACCTTAAGTAGAACAGGATTATAGCCAAAAGGAGAATGAGGAAGGAACTCCAGCGTAATTCCCACTTTCACAGGGCACCAGGACCCACTTGCTGGATCTCCGGGTCTCCTTCTTCCCTCAGGTCCACTTCAGAACCAGTCTGCTCCTCTCTAAAGTTGCGTTCAGATTCCTCTGTGGAATTTAGGGCTCCCAGACTGAATAAAACCACAAATCACCTACCATGTGCAGTTTTATGCACCCATTTTACTAGGGATCTACTTCTAATAAAAATACACCCCTGTGTGACACAGCAGGTTTCCTCTGGTGAAACCCCATTGCTAGTGCTACGCAGGCCTCATGATAAATACGCTAAGATCGTTCATGTAGCCATGAGTGCCCAGAAATGTCGTCTTCTCTCGGTCTCAAATGTATGCATTTTCCTTTTACCTTGGAATCCAGTTGTTTCTGACACAATACTCACATGCTCCGTCATTAGCGGTGTAGTTTCCGTGGCAGGAGTGTTACGTGGTATTTCACTTTTGATGAACAAAAATATGAAGGCACTGCAGAGAAAATACATGTTAGTGCCTTTATCACAACCCCGATTGATCTCAAGCTGCCTGGCTTTTGAGAGACAACACCACTCAACTTATCAGGTCTTTGTGACCAGATAGCATCTCTGTTCCCTCGGGGGTCAGGCCATTTCTTCAGAATTGCTCTTCCCTTTGATGTCTCTTGCTTTTCTTGATAGCCGTAACTTAAAACCTAACCTCAGCTTTCTCCCAAATCAGCTGCAGTGGACCCCTGAAATTCACAGGGTCTAGTTTCTAGAGCACTCGAAAATTGTGAAAAACTGTGAATTCCAGATATAGTCAGAAAAATGCCTACAAATGCCTATTTTCATAGTTTAAGCCCTAAATAGGCTATATCTCCTGCAGTTATGTAATTTAACATAATACAATACTGTATTAATAAAGCCTTACAAGATGCAGGGAGTTTTGGCGGCATCGTAGGGATCTACAGAGAAGAACAAAACGAGAACACTCAAGACAGCTACGCGTGGTACATCAACCTGTTATAATGCAGGATGCCGGTGCATCTGCGAGAGATAGGTCACAAGGCAGCAGCCAATCGGCAGCAAAGAGAACTGAATAACACTGTCAGATTGGCTACTTGCAGAACTCCCATTAAAAAAAAAAAATTGTGGAGGATATTTGTGGTTTCCATGAAATTGCAGGGCCTTTGGAGGAGGGGGAACTCCGCCAAGGCTGAGGTCATGGAGCCCGAACTGTGACTTTGGGAGTATGTTGTGTTCCTCTTCCTTCCTTCTTTCAGTCAATAGCCCTGTTTTCATTTTTAGCCCTTTGTAACTTAGAAGTCACACTGTACAGGACATACAAATGAGAACCTCACTGAACTGCTTCTCACTGATTATACTGCTGGACCCCCAAAGGTTAACAGTTCCCTCAGTTGCACTAGCTACACATGGGTCCCAGGCACTCATCTATGACACTGATGCATATGCAGAACTGTGCAGCTCCCGCAGAGGCAAAGTGAGGCTGTCTTCCCAAGCCACAGGTGTGGGCTCTGCTGCTTGTGCCAGTTCTACTCTAGGTCCTCTAACACAGGTGCAGCCACGCTCAGGTGAGCTGATGACATAGGCAGTGGAAGAGTATGCAGCTATAGAAGAGGAATGAGGATGCTCTCTATGCTGTGATACTGAAAGATTGCAAGGATATATTTTAAAGGGAAACATATATGCTCAACCCTCATGACTGTCTGCAGTTATCAACTCTCATAACACACTGTCTAACCAGGTCTGGTGTCTTTAGGGCAAATACCTCCCTTACTATGGATTCTTGAACCAAGCACATATGTTAAAATGTATTAAAATATTAAATTATTATTAAATTAAAATAATCTAATAATTAACTATTAAATTAAAATAATTTTGGAATGTTTTGAATATTCCTTTTAAAATACTTTTTAATGCATTTGCATGATTCAAAAGGGGTATAGCTCAGTGATAGAATGTCTTCTTAGGATGCGTGCTATTTGGGTTTCATCTCCTGTACTACAAAGGAAAAGAAGTTAAAATAAGAAGCTTTCAAGCCAGGTGTGGTAGCGCAGGCCTGTAATCCCAGCACTCAGGAGCTGAAGAAAGAGGATTGCCATGCATTTGAGGCCAGACTGGGTTACACAGTGAGTTCAAGGTTAGCCTAAACTGCATAGCAAGACCCTGACTCAAAAAACCAATAAATAAATAAATAGTAGATAGATAAGTAAAAAAGAGAATTTCAGAGCACCTATTTGCTATTTTTCTATCTAAAATTTGGAGAAATATAGTAGGTGGTGAAGTGCAGAGTTTGTGTATATTATATGCTTTTATATAAAAATTTAAAATTTCCTAGATAGCTTCTTCATGGCATCACTTGCTTGTAAAACTGCAATGTCCCACATTCCTCCCATACAAAATTGAACTTTGCCTTTTGATCTTCCTTGCTCTCTGCATTAGTATCATCCATCTTATTTCAGTGTAATTCCCCATATGCACTTGAATTCTTGACTACTTCCTGATCCAAATTCTCACCTCCTCCCTTCCCAGTCCTTCTCAAGCACCCATTCTTGTTTTGTAATTTTTTCTTACCAGACACACTGCATCCGCTCCTCTTCCCGTGCGAACTAAAGAAGAGCTGACTTCACCTCAGGGTGAAGAGAGACCCACCTGTCCCCTCTGAATCTTCCTCAGCTCAAATCCCTGCAGTGATGAAAAGAATCTCTACACGACCAAGGCTGCTCACTAAAATTCCATGGGCTCTTTTTCTCTAAAGATTTTCTAAATTAAAAGAAAATATGAGCCACAGGGTAAGCCTCCACCTCATGAATGAGTTGCGTGCTGGGAGAGCGTTTATAAGTCTGATTCCTTCCTAAGTCTGACAAAGAGAGTTTTATGTAGTATATTTGTGAAAGTTTGTGACTCAAATGCACATAAATCTGGGACTTGCAGTATTATGTGACCTTCAAGGTCTTCAAAAAAAATTAACATTCAATAACTGAATGCATAAAACCTAGCTGTATGTGTATATGCAAATGAATTAAGTATATATGAACATGTATTTGCATTATTGAATTTGCAATGCTATTTCTAAACATTGTAGTTGTATTTTCTTCTCAAAATTATATAAAGTCCTGTGTGTTTCTAAATAAATAATATAAAATTCTATGCTAGAAATACTTGAAGACTACAGATGTCCTTGATGCTTTCCTAAACAGCTCTCTGATGCTCCGACAAATTATTTAACATCTCTGAGCATTGCATTTTTCTTCTAAAAATAATTGGAGATGTACGCTCTTCACAGAGCTGTAAAGAAGATTAAGTGGTGATACGTGCGTACTCTCAGCGTGCTTTCACCACATGCTAAAATCTGAAAATGTGCTGAGAGGGCCCGAATGTCAAATGGGTGCCAAGCGTGAGAAAGACGCCACGACTGCCAAGGGGGGTGGAGCCTGTGTGACGAGTGCTGGGTCTAAGGACAGTCAGGAAGAAGAATCTCAGCTCAGTGTGGTCAAGAGGCAGGTGGGTGGCAAAGATTGAGGGTGAAGGTGGGAAGGACGCTATTTACAGAAATTCATAGATCTTCCCATTCATAACTTCACAGCTCAAGAATGAAGAAGACCCTATGAGTGGTGTAGAGTAGGCCCTGAGAACGTCAATAATAGAAGAAATACAAAAATCTATGGTAGTTTAAGGGAGATTCATTCTAACAGCAAAGATACATATATGATGGAATGGGGGCTCTCAAGCAGTAAGAGTGGCCCAAAAGGTGGAAGAAGGACTGAGAGAAGTGTTTCTGGTCTGGTGTGATGAAAAGTCCTGGTCGACGGGAGCACAGTTCGGATGGAAAGGGGCGTCATGTAGCAGAAAGAATGCTCGGATGGTGCACCGTGAAGGCAGGGTGGGCTATGCAGACAGGCTTTCTCTGAGTCCAGTGGGAAGCTGCTGGCCTTTTACAACAGGAAACTGACAGTGAGCTGCTGTACAGCAGACCTGAGCTAGCTGCACTGGGAAGCGGAGAGAGGGAAATGAGGCCTCCAGAAAAGAGACTTTTGTAACCTCACAAGTAGGTAGATGGGTGGGTGGGTCGGAAGGAAAGGAAGAAAACACTCAGAATGAACAGGAGTCAGTTTAGGATAGAGTCTAAAGGGGGAAAATGAAAGATGAGTGAGGCTTTTGATCCAAATGAGTGTGGCTGATCTCTCGTGTGCAGAGAGGGAGCACAGGGAGAGGAACTGGTGCGCAAGGAAGAACACAAAAGAGACATGATTCTGCGTGGGAAGAGTTGAGGGCAAAACAGAAGACCTTGCAGCCTCGTGTTTGTGAGTGTGCCTGGCAAGCTCCTTTCCACCATGTTGCTTCCCAGAACTGAGGGGGAGGAACCTATGGGCACCTACAGAGGGCTGTCCTGCCTGGTTATCACTATGGACCAACAGTGTGGACCTGCGGAAAGGTAATGGCTAGAAACAAAGATCTGAGTTTCCTCAGGGTGCACATGAATAGCTGAAGCTGGAGGAATAAATGATGCCCAGAGAAAGCAAATGAACAAAGTATGAAGCCTAGACGCATTAGGATGATCTAAAGTGTCCTACTCTTGTGATTTCTCTGCTGGGGATGGAACTCAGGACTTTGTGCATTCCGGGCAAGTGTTCTACCACTGGGCTACAGCCCCACCCCATTTTTTTTAATTGAAAGAGAAAGCTGTCTGTATGAACCCTACCTCCTGGATTCTCAATAAAGTAAATGTTTCAGATAGTGCTCAGGGTACTGTTTCTTGGTATCAGCTTCATTCTGTCATGTTCTGGTCAAGCTTGATGGTCACCTGGACTGCACTAAGAGACTCCTGGAGAGATGATGAGATTATGAGGACACTGACTCCCTCCAGGGGTTCAGAGCTGCATGGGCCATCAGGAGGCGGGATTTGGGGACTGTGTCTGGCCCCTCTCCTCCCTTTCTGTCTCTTCCCTTGCTCTCTGCAGATGCCATTACCTGAGGAGCTCTCCCCTGCTGGGCCCTTCTGCCATGACGATTCTACCTTGAAGCAAGCTGCCCATGAAATGAACCCTCTGAAACCGTAAGCCAAATTCAACCTCTCTTCCATTAAGTTGTGTCCAGCAGCAAGAACGCTGACTAACGCAATGGTGTGACCACAAATGACTCATCATTCCTAAGAGCAGGTGAGGCAGTAAAGCGTGTGGGTATTTGACGCTGGCAATGGAAAAGCTGCCCCCACAAACCTGTACACATTTTCTCCTGCACTAGAGCCTAGAAGACTAAAACCTGTGTTCCCGAAACTCTACTGGCAGTGAGGCTCTACTAATGTGCTTAAGATTAAGAGACTGAGGAGCTGTTTGGGTTTGGCGGCAGCCCCAGTAGTTTCGGTAGCAGCACTCACTCAGCACAGAGAAATGGTTCCTGCAATCCTACTGGTATGTGGGCATTGGGGTTATGGGTGCCACTCCACTGAATCCACAATTCACTGTGTTAATCCTCTGCTATGTAAAATGCCTAGCCTGGCTTTGTTTATACAGACTGACTGATGCCTTATATATCACGTAGGGAGAATTGCTATCATGTAGAAACTGCCTAACAAATTCTTTAATGACTAGATATACAGAAGATCCAACAATGGTAAGAGCAATATCCTGAACCACTGCAACTGTATTCCAAGTTTCTTTACACTGATCATGAAGTTGATTCAGTGAATTCCTTTCAGAACAAACTGAATTGAATTAAAATAATGAAATGGCAGATAGCCGAAATCCTGCCCAGTAGAGAAACACAGATGAAAGTCTAGATGCCCACTGGGGAAGACTACCAAATTTCCTGCCACCAACTCCAGATCCAGCCACATGAGTTCTCAGACACAGTGACTCGTGGAACGCAAAGCTGGGGAGCAAAGGCTCAGGGGGAAGTGGGGTAGGTCCCTGCGGGTGTGCCCCGGAGGTGGGGGTTGGAACTCCAGTCCCTTCTCCTTTCTTTCTCTCTCATTTCTGGCCATGAGGTGAGCAGCTATTCTCTGTCCCGTGGTCCCTTCACCACAACCTCAGAGCAGAACCAAGTGGTCATGGAAGAAGCCTCCCACCCAGGGGCAGAAAACTCCTTTCCTCCTTAGAAGCTAGTAGCCTCAATTTTTTGTTATGGTAATGGAAAATTAACTGGCACATTTATTAATAAAAATAACAATCATAATAAAAGCTACTTATTACAGAGAGCACTAAGTATGTGCCTAGCACCGCACAAATCACTGAACCTTTGTTATTTTATTCATTCCTCAAAATGTCCTGCACACGGGTCATTTCCCTATGATTTCTCTCTTTACAATGAAGAAACCATAGGTTGAAGAAACAAAGTGATCTGCTCATGGAAATAAGAGATAGAACATGAATAACTGGTCTGTAATTTTACAGAATGTGCTATTTCCAAAAGAAGATGAAATACGGAGAAAATATGGCCTAGTGAACTGTAGGAACTGACTTCAAATTATCACTAAGTTGAAACTAAGGCAAGATACATTACAACTTCGGAAAGTAAAGAAATTGTTTTTGAGAGAGCTACACAAAGCTAGAATTCAATGTCAAATTGTCTACAATGCATAAAATTGCCTCTAACCAAAAAGTGTCAAGAACCTACTGTTTTGGAATAATCTATGTTATTTCTTCTCCAGCTGCTCTAGGAGCATTCTCTACGGCAGCATTTCATGACAAGAAGATTGTTCCTGAGAGCCACCGGGGAAAAGCCATCACTGCCGAGGAGCAGAATGTACTGTTCTTTCCTGAAGAATAAAACCATACTAAGATTTTGCTAGGCAGGGCTAGTCGTTCTGGAAGGCCCTGGCAGGGAGCACCAAAGGAGTCCAGAGAAGACAGGGCACTGAATTTAAGGTCATCTGATTCTTTTAGGGCTTTATTGAGCCAACAGCACCACATAATCAGACATTTGCACTCTCACTCCTATGGTGCGGACAACTGGCCATGGATACATCCCAAACAGGTATTCAAAAGAGCGTGTGTTTTCAAGGTGGCAGAGGGTCAGGGAGGGGTGCTGAAAGAATGGGTGAGGGACAGGAGGTAGAAGCTGACCACAAGGTGGATACAGGAGCAAACCCTTAGCATAGGGTTCGCCTCCCATGACTTCACGTATCCGTGGTCAAACATGATCTGAAAATGTGCAATGGGACACTTCTCAAAAAAACACCTCATAAGTTTTAAATTGTGCATTGTTTTGTGCAGCATGTCAAAATCTCATGTTATTCCCATCGCTGGGTTTTGAATGCAAATCATCATAGTGCATATGTGAGTGTGTGCATATATGTGTGTGTGTGTGTGTGTGTGTGTGTGTATGTTTCCAGGATGTATGTACGGCCCCCATTGAACCACTGAGCAGTCTTCTTGGATTGCAAATCCACTGTTGAGCTACAGCAGTGCTGGGTTCAGGTGACCCTTACTTCTACTTATTGTCCCCAAAGCAAAGAAGTAGCAATGCCAGCAAATCTAACATGCCAAACAGAAGCAGTAATGTGCTTGCCCTATGCAAAAAGGTGGAGATTTCAAGTCCAGAAGGGAAAAAGAATAACAGTGTGCTGAATTTGCTAAGATCTATGGTAAGAGTAAATCTCTGTCCATGAAACTGTGAAGAAGCGAAAAGAAATGTGCATTAGTTTGACTGTCATTGCAAGCTGCAGAAGCATGGCCGCTGTGCTGAAGTGCTCATAGGTTGAAAAAGGCAATCAGTTACAAAATTCAGTGTGACCTGTGATGGCTGTGGAGTATCTCCACCTTGAGTAAGGAGGGACAACGCTAACAAACAAGAAGAAACAAAATGCTCCGGGGCTGTCAGAAAGCCAGCACAGCATTCATCTGTGTGCCCTGTTGCAGTTTGCAAAATATTTCAGTATACCCTCAGGCTGACTCATGAGCTCGGTGGTATGGTCGTCTACATGAATGCAAAGGGAATGAGCCTCAGAGCAGTTTGAGGATTTTCCCAGTGTCTCAGAGCTTTGGAGCTAAAGCTGGGCCTCCTGTCCCAGACTTGGTATTTTGTCCTGTAAGACTGGCCTGTCCTTGTCAATTAAGAATGCAAGGAAAAATCATACAGATTTTATAAAATGCAAGTTTAGAAAAAAATGTAAAGACCTGAGGATTTTTGAAAGCACCCTAAATTTAGTTTGAAGAATAGCTAAAACATTAAAAGCAGCTATGTACCTTATTACTGAGAGCCCAGCTCCGACGTAATTCAGCACCGGCTTTGACACCTCTTCCGCATCTACTCCAAACCAGCCAAACCTGGAAATTCAGTAACACCTAATTAGACATTGCTGAGACGTCTCATTATAATGTTGCAGGGCATGGGCCTGGGGCCAGGTTTCTTGGTTCAAATCCTAGGTTTCACAGTTACTAACTTTAACTTTGGACAAGTTACTTAAATGTGGCTCAAATTTCCATATTTGAGATGGAGAAATAGCTGCACTCATTGTTTAGGTTGTTATAACAAACATTAAGAAGATTAACATCTGTGAGAGGATTTACTTGTGAGTGCCTCTTTTCTATAAGACTAAAGAAAGGAGAAAGTATAGTTCAAATGGTGGGCTGAATACTCAGTAATTGGCTGTAGCATTTATAGGATTATTTACTTATTTATCTATTTATATATATATATATATATATTTTTTTTTATCGTGGTCTTGGAGGTCAAACTCAGAGCCTTGCACATGCTAAGCAAGTGCTCTACTACTGAGCTATGCACTTGGCCATTTGCGGCATACTTTAAAATACCTTCTTGGTTAAAAGTTCCTATTCTTTGGCATTAATTAAATTTTTTCATGCTTTGATATTGTCATGATTACTACAAAGAATCACTGAGAACCATCTTAGAGCAAAAGGATGAGAGGCAAGAAGAAAAAGCGGATAGTATTTGTAAAAGTCAGGACTGCTCAACAGGAAAGGAGAGGAAAAAGTGTATGTATATTGGAGGTAAGTAAATTCATTTTGGGGGGTCATAATGCTTTTAAGGGGAAGGGAAGCCTCAAAAGTGAGGTAAGGGCAACACTGTCTGACCTGCTCATTTCCTGAACTTGACTTGGGTGTTGATCTTCACGCGGGCTAAAGGTACACAGCCCAGGAGACACATCCATGATGACTAGGCTGTTCTACCCCTGCACCTACGATGGGGCAGTGCTGTGGCTTATATCTAAAATGCCCCCTAAAGCCTTATGCACTCCCAAGTGGGGCTTTTGGAAGTGATTGGATAACATGTGTGACCCTGGATCAATCCACTGAATAGTTTAGCATAGTTCTGGGTGTGGATGATGGATTTACTAAAGACAGAAAGCCCACCCTGGATATGACTGACACCAACCAATAGATATTTAGCCTGAATGGAATAAAATGGGAAAGGGAGGCTAACTCTGGCTTCTGCTTTTTCCTGCCAGCCCTTCCATGGATTGTTTTTGGAACCACCCAACTATGGACTGAAGTCTACAAACTGTGAACCAAAATAAACATCTTCTCCTTTAATTTGTGGATCTCAGGTATTGTGTCCCAGCAACAAGGAAGTAACTAAGACAGGCAGCCTTCACTCACATGTCGCTACTGAGCACTTGGAATGTGACCAGTACAACTGAGAGACTGCATGTTTCATGTTATCCAATTTTAATTAATTCAATTTCAATATAAATGGCCATCTGTGATTTGTGATTATTCTAGTGGATAGCCACAACCCTAGAGCTGGGGTTGGCAAACTTAGTTAAAGGATCAGAGAGTGTGTTCAGCTCTGTGAGCCTGATGTTATCTTGCAATGACTTAGCTCTGTCAGGAGAGAGGGAGAGCAGCCGTAGCCAGTATCAAAAGGGATGAGTATAGCTGTGTTCTAATGAAACCCTAGAAACACAGCGAGGGGACTGGGGTTCAGTTGCTGATCATGCAAGAAGGCTGGATTATGTACTTTAGAATTGCAAACTGGGTTTGAGCCCCAAATTCTTAGCTCTGAGAAACTTCTGGAAACTGACCCCTTTGAGTTCCAGCTCTCTTACAATACAGCACTTACCTTGCATCCATACATATCGTTGTGCAAATGAGAAAAGAATAAGGCATATAATTTTCTCAGCAAATACTCACACTATAGAAAGGGAAAACAAACATCAGGTTCCTTTCTTTCTCCCTATGCATTTCCTAGATATAATTCTTTAAGACATTTTTGTTTTGATTTGATTTTTTTGTGATATCTTGATAAAATACCTTGGACACTTATGAAGAGTTTAGGACAAAGAATAACTAAAGGTGTCACATTTATGTGTGTATTTTACCAGCTGTAATCTCGGTGAGAATAACTGTATGTTGTTCTTTGCAGTTAGCCCAATCCTTAGCAGTTGTCATACATTAGTCCTGGGTACAGAGAAAATAAGTGGAAAGTTTGACCATGTTACCTTGAGCTTGCCCAGCCAGTTAAGGCATTAAATGATCCCCAGATTAGGATTCCAAGGCCTAAACCAATGGTTTTGATGATTGGGACAACAGCAACATTCCCTGTAGACACGAGAAGCAGAAGAAATATTATTTCCAATATAAAAAGTATGCATATTCTTAAACTAACTGAATCTCCTGTGATTTGCACAAATTTTGTATAATTCCTCATTTTTAAAATAAAATAACCATTTTGGGCATCAAACTTATGGTTGTGATTGTTAACAAGTTATGCTAAGGGAAAAACCCCACAGAGAAAGAAGCTGAATCAGCTTCCAGCTGCACAGATGCTCTTCATCCTTGACGTAGGTCCCTATCACAGGACTCCTCCCAGAAGCTGTCGATGGTGAAGTTAGAGTGATACGCATTAGATTCACACTGGGGCTGAAAGCTGTCAGAAACCTTAAGTGCTAATATGGCTGTAGAATTTGCTAAACCACTCTCACTGGTTTGTCTTCCAGGTTTTCACATTAATTACCATGTGTTCTTCAGGGCCACTAGGGGCCTAATCCATGATTATTTTAAAAGTTATTATTATTATTATTGCTGTTTTGAGCTAGGCCTTACTATGTCACCCAGGATGGCCTGGAACTCCTGGGATTAAGCAATCCTCCCACTTCAGCTCCTGAGTAACTAGCTAGGAGTACAGGTATATGCCCCCAAGTCTAGCTCATCATTGTTTTTGTTTTATGTTTTGCAGTTCCTAACCCCTCAGCAGCCTAGTCTGGTCCTGTGACATCTTCTTACGAGCTTTCTTCTTTGGACTTGTGAAACCTTTTCCTTGCCTCTCATGTTTCCCTGTAGCTCTGCTCGGACTTGTCCTGCTCACTGTACCTTCTAGATTGATGTATCTTCTAGAGATTTCCCCTGAAACATGCCCCTCTGCTTGTTTGCTAACATTTTGGGCTCTTGACCTACTTTCATGATTTCAGCTGTTAACCAGAGGCAGGTGTTCCCAGGGCTGCCCCTCCTGCCTGGACCTACTGGAGTTTCAGCGGCACACTAAAACATGCTGCTGGAAATCTGCAGGTGGATGTCCTCTATGGAGGGAACATCCAGGTCCTCCAGATACAGAAGGTCCCAAATGGAATTCATCATCCCCCTTCTCAACATGTCCTTTTCCTGAGGCCTCACCTGTGTCAGCACCACCACCCTCCTTGTCACCTACCGCCAAGTCCTTGCATCACTCCCCTCCCCTTGCTATGGGACCCCATGCTCCATCTGTGGCTGTGACCTATGACATCCACAGAGGCAATGTCCCTCACATGGGGCTTTTCTGCCACTGGCTCCTTCTGGAACTTTCTGCAAGAGTCAGGTGTGGTGGTGCACACCTGTAATCCCAACACTCTGGAAAGTCAAAGCAGGAGCATCACAAGTTTGAGCCTAATCTGAACAACTTATCAAATTAGCAAGACTTTGTCTCTAAATTAAAAAAATAAAAATAAAAAGAGTTTGGGGATATAGGCCTGAGATCGATCCTCAGTACTTAAAAGAAAAAAAAATACCTGCGGGATGGGGATGGATGGACTGGTTCTGTTTCTGTCATATTAGGTTCTGTTCTGTTCCCTGTCAGGCATAATAATTACAAATCAGAGGTATAAAGATGTAAATTCTAGCAGTAAATTAAAAGTTAACTCAGTCACTAACTCATAAACCCTTTAATCTCTCAAAGATTCAAATCAAGGGATAAAATAATAAATTCTTAACATTTTAAAACTTACTTGTTTTTAACAAGACTATCTTTAATGATCCTTGATTCTTTGTTAAACAGAAAAAGCTCTTCAGGGGTGAATTTGTTTGGAGAGAGGAATCATTTCAGATTGGTCAAGAAAATATATCAACTCTAGTTACATAATTCCAGTCACATGAAAGCAACAGAGGAAAGATTTTTGTTTGTTTTTCTGTTATCAGTACTCTTGAAATGATTATACATCTGCCCCAGCCCCCCGCGCCTTGCGCCCAGGCAGCCAGTTCTCCAGGAGCGGCAGGGCTCCTGGGTCCGAGAGT